TAGCATGTCTGGATTTGGAGAATCGCCAGAGAGCCAGCTGACTGTCAGAGGCAAATGTAATAGAGAATACATCTTAACCTTTTTTTTAATTGTTTTTAGCATTTAGTGCATGCTGGAGATAAACACATATATACAAAATGGAACAATGGAATGGAATAATAATAGTTTTATGTTCAGGTTGTGATGTGATCATTGAGGTTCCAGCTCTTCCTGTGATGGAGGGACATGCTGTGACTCTTCGCTGCAGAAAGCAGGGAACTTCCTCTCACCTCAAAGCTGACTTCTATAAAGATGGCAGCTTTATGGGGAACAGCTCCCAGGGAGAGATGACCCTCTACAGCGTCTCCAAGTCTGATGAAGGACTCTATATGTGCATCATCTCTGGAGCTGGGCAATCACCAGCAAGCCGGCTGTCCATCAAAGGTGAGACATATCCTCACTGAATCTAAAAACAATATTTTACTGTTTGCATGTTTGCAACAAATCCCATGTAAAACTATAATGTAAGGGTTTTTGTTAAACCTTTTTCACAGCAGCCATTTTGACATGCAATAGTAGGGTAAAGAAAGATGCTGCTAGTGTGTATGTTAGCACACTGAAAGCTTTTCTAAAACTCCATGGAACAGAACCTTAATTTGTATCATTAGTAACATCTATTTCCTGTCAAAATGGCTGTGCTGTTGTTCAGCCACAGTGGCTTTGTGCAGCTACACACCCAGATGGTGCAGATTGTGTTAATAATCTCTCTAGGAAAGCAGATGAGTCAGTAAAAACTGTAATCCAGCAAAACACTGAACTCACAGACTTTCATTTTAAATCCTAGTGAAGATCCCAGAGTATAATGGCTCAGTGAATGAAAATGGGGACCCAAATGCAGAACCTGCAGACAGAACAGGTAAGGTAAAAAGTAAACATTATGAGGCCATTGATTATGATATTGTTCAGCACAAGACAAGCAGTCAGAGCACGGAGCCTAAACCAAAAAGTATTTTTGTCTTTAGTTGTGGTTGAACAACATGTTGCACAAACTCGGGCTTAAGCTAACAATTTATTATTTATTCATCTGCAGATTTCTTTCAAAATTCAAATGTTTTGTTGTACCCTGTCTAAATGTCTGCCTTTTATTAAATATTTCATCTTTCCAGCATCCGACAAAGGGATAAATCTTTCCCACCTTTACTACTTAATGCTGTGGGTCGTCATCGCTGTCGTATTGGTTCTGCAGCTGCTGGTGATCGGATTACTTTACTGGAAGAAACAGCTAGGTACTGAAATTAAACATGATACAAACAAAACAAAGTTATCCCTTAAAGTAAGTGATGATGTTGCAGGCAGTCAGTGGGTGGGATATATCAGGCAGCAAGTGAACATATTGTCCTAAAAGTTGATGGGACTGCATAACATTCTGACCACCAGGGTGCCCAGGTGGTCAGAATGTTATTGCTGATCGGTGTACCTGTGTTCATCTGTTTGCCTACTTAGCTCTCTTAAAAATTAAGTTTAAATTATTCTACAATAGTATTCTGCACTAATGCATAGCCTGCAAGATGATACATATGATGATAAAAATGTTTCTTTGTGTTTCAGTCTTACTAGAGGCAAAGATGAACAATCCAAATGAGGACATGTATGCTGTCGTCAAAAAACACAAGAAAAAGAAAGGTAATTCAATGCACTTGCTAAAATACTAGTTTGTCTGCATTCAAACCAGTAACAGCAATTGCAGCCATATAGAAGTCACTTTAACGGCTTAACTGGCTCTAACCAGAAATGTTTGAGAACCCCTTGTACACAAATTCACATCGTCTAAGTATGTCATACACGGTGTTTCGTTTTAGACGCTGCAGACGCTGATAATTTGAGCCTCTGTCTTGACACAAACCGCAGCACAAAACCACAGACAGAAAAAGGTAAGATGGCCCCCTCAACGCCTTCAGTCTGCAAACCACAGGGCCAAAGAAGCATTCTGAAATGAGATCAAACCCAACCTGCGTTTATATCTAGGTTTAACATGCTGCAGTATAATGGTATGCTGTGGATGTTGTCTTATTGACTGTGTCTTTTTCAGATCAGGATGAACCACCTCAATCTTTTCACTCCTCCTTTACCACCTATGACACTTCAGAAGCTCCACAAGAAGGTTACTATCTTGTTTGAATGATTTCAAATTATTTAGTAGATTTGATTCATTTCTAAATTAGGCATTACCAACGTTTCTTTTCTTTTCAGTTATTTTTAAACTTGAATTACATCCATTTGTTTCCATATTTCCAGAATCCGCAGTATCTAGCTTCACAGCGTCAGCAGCTCCCTCAGAGGCTACAGACCCACCTTTCACAGATCCAGATCCCCAGTATGCTTCCATCCCTGAGGTAGTTCTGAGAATAATACTGGCCTTATTTTGGCTTATATGGCCGTATTTTTATTTTCCAAAATGTGACATAATATTTTCATGAGATCCTTAGAAAACTTAGTGGAAGATTAAAAAATCACTCAAAACTGTTGTACAATGCTGCATTGTCAAGGCAAGTTAGCAGCAACTGCAGTGTAGTAGTCTGGGTATAGCTACTCTTTAAAATATTGTCTCTTGCATTTTATGAACATATTCCATCTATTTATTTATTTCTGTCTTACAGATCAGAGAGGAGGAAACGCCTTACTGAGGGAGATGCTGTTGTTGCAGTAATTGACAGACTTAATAAAGTCATTAAACTGTGCTTGAAATAACTTTTGAAATCACTTAACATCACCTTATTTGTATCCGTCTTGTTGTCTCAGTCATTATTTGTAAAACAGAAATGTAGTGACATTGTTGTTTTAGCAATAAATCAAATGAATAAATAAAGTATTTGCTCAGCTGTGTGACAATATATTGTTGCTCTTCATTACAACATGTCTAATCTGGCCTTTGGTGAGTAGGTTGATAGCAGAATGTGAAACAAGTATCAACAATAAATGGCTATTCAAAGCATTTCAAAATAGACTGAGGGTGTTATCATCACCACAAGTCTTCATCTGAGAGTTTCAGCCAACATGCATCAGTGTCTATTAATAAAAGGTGTCAGTTTATCAAGGTCAAACCGTTAAACCACCTTGCTTTGGTAAAGCTGCAGCAGCTAATTCTAAATAGAGTAATTGTGGTAATGACTTATCATCAGTTTGACCTGAGTTTACAGCCATAGTTTTCACTGACAATACAAACCTAAAACTGTTCATGTAGAAAACACAGTCCCCCCAATATGATCTCACAAACGGAGAGGTAGAGAAGGAATAAATACAGTCTTATTACATTATTGGATAGATATTTGGTAACATTTGCATAACTTGCCATTTACGTTGTCCCATGTCTACCCTGTGAGGCCTTAGGGGGCAGCACTGAGATATTGTTTGAATGTTCCCAGATTCTCCTTTTTGAACACACTAACTTCTTAGTGACAAAAACTGTCCCCTGCATAACTTAGCATCATCTACCTCATACTTTTTTCTTCACAATATGCCAGGACTACATTGACACACACCCCTCTGTACATGCTTGTCTAAGATAATATTCAAATCTTGATAGTCTAATCACATCATATTACCACAAAATTGCTTCTGACTTTTGGTAAAAACCTCAAAAACACATGCATATATTCTTAAACAAGGAGGGTGTAATCAACAGTTAACCCCTGAGCAGAAAGCAGGGCTGCTTTCATTGCCTTGGGCGCCACCAGCTGGAGAGGTGCTGGAGAGTACATACAAGAAAGAGTCTGCATATTTAGTAGACAAGAATAGAATTATTATTATTTTTTTAAATTACTCAACCTCTATAATCTCTATAATTCTCTCTAAATCCCAAGCAGCCACAAAGACAGATTGCTGAAATTCAAGTTAATTCCCGATGTGCTTTACCATAGCTGGAGCTGACAATTGGAACTAACTAACAAACTAGGAATATATAACAAACATAACCTAATAAAAACAAAGAAACTAAATGACAGATGCAGCACCACCGCCATCTTGGCTCCTTAGTACGATGTCATCCACAGGGTCATTAGTTAGTGCAACAATAACCTCCTCATCCCAGCAGGCTTGCATACACATGCTCACACCTGACACATTAACACATCAAAACACAACTGTGGTAACAATTACTTATAAGTGAGCCCCGGGAGCTCTCCTGGTGGAGCGCACACCCCATGTGCACAAAGGTCTTTGCTTAGTCTGTCTTGGGTTTGATTCCAACCCACATCCCTTTGCTCAGGTCACCCCTCTCTCTCATCCTACTTTCCATTCACGAAATACTCTTAAGAAAACCCCAAAAAGAATCTCCAACGTCCAATCTTTTATTGACCCATTCATCAATGCCGGCCACTAGAGGGCTTTGTCAGTTGAATGTAAAGCTCTTGCTATGGGGCACTTGCTGAAACGACTGATGCTGTCGTTCTTCTTGGGAGGAACTGCATACATCAACACCAAAATAAATGGCACAGGAAGAGGTTGTGACCCACATATCATCTGTCTGTAGTTCTGTGAGGCTCAAGACAGTCAGCAGCAAGACATCATGGAGGTCACAGCTCTCAGCAACAGACTGTGTAAGTAGCTTTTCTGACAACGTTTTGTTCATATATATTAGATGGAAGGTGAAATCAATATTATAACTGAAAAAATACTTGAAACAACACTTGGAAGCAGTAAGTACACAGTAAAGTATTTCATTTTAGTGCCTGGATTCACATCAGATTAAGTAAATTAAGATGTTTTTCTCTGGTCAATATATTAAATTGATGCAAATTATATAAAAGTTTTTGGCTTCTGCAGAAGTGAAGCCATTTAAGAATATCTATTAACATCCAAAAGCATTCCTTCTTCGCCTTGTATTGGTTATTATATGAATGTATTATCTTTCTCTCTGTCCCTACAGTGTTGAATGTGTTGTTGCTGCTAGCTGAACATTGTTGCCACAGTTGTGCTCAGAAAGCTGGTAAGTGGCAAATACTTATTGATTTACCTATAGACAAAAAACATAAGATATTGGCATTTGGTTAAATGTTTTTGCATAATGGATTACTTAGACGTTCCAAATTTAAAGTCAGGTTTACCTACACCATCTCTATCCCAAATAATGAATGCTAAAAACCTAAATAACTGTTGTGCACATGCCCATCGAACAACATCTATTTTGCTCATGTGTGAATCATATGTTTTGGTTTAGTGAAGAGAAAGCAAACTTAATACTTAATTAGAAAATTTTAACTAAGATTCGTTTGACAACACAATTCTTTGTTACCTATTTTCTGAGAAAGACAATGAGAATAAAGTTCTTGGTAACACTACAGTATTTTTTCAAATAATTTCCCCATAATTACTATGTGAATATGTGTTGTGACAGTGTTCAAGACTATTATTTAGACTATTTATTTTGTCAGCATAATCCAGTAATGACTTAATAATTATTAATATTTACCTTGGTTTAAATTGAGCTAACGGAATTACTACCATTAGTTAATTTCCAGGAAACTTTCAGACAGTTGTTGGCAAATGTGTACCAATATGATAAAGTGTCATCCCAATTTCTTGACTTGACCAGACCTCTGACCGCTCTTTAATTGTGAAAATTTAAGAGGTCATAGTTTATCAGATATTTTTTTCTGTCTGTCTAGATGCAGATTTTCTTCGTGTCGACCCAAACAGACTGCAGTTCTTTGAATATGAGTCCATTGCTTTTACCTGCGAGGGGTTCGATGATGGCTCAGCTAAATGGAGAGGGGTGAGGAATGCGGAAGGATTCATCCCAACTTGTTCCAATGGCACAGCGACTTCGACGGTGACCTGCACTCTTTACAATGCCTTTGAAACAGACAGTGGAGAGTACTGGTGTGAAGCTGGAGGAGGAGAGCGAAGCAACACTGTCAACATCATTGTCACCGGTAGATTTACTGTACATAACAAATTCCATATGTATATGTCAACTCAATCCACGGTTTGTGTCTCATGAAGTTACTCAGGTCAATTATCTGTCAGTGGTGTGTTAAAATGTAATGTTTTTGTTGGGCCCAGAAGCATATTGAAGCTAGTGATACACTATACTTACAGCAATTGTAAAAAAATATGTTTCAGTGGGTTCTGTGATCCTGGAGAGTCCCGTCCTCCCTGCAATAGAGGGAGACAATGTGACTCTGTGCTGTAGAAGGAAGGTGACATTAAACCACACAGCTGATTTCTATAAAGATGGACTCCAATTTAGGACTGGCTACTCTGGGAAGATTGTCATCCACAATGTGTCCAAGTCGGATGAAGGACTCTACAAGTGCAACATCTCTGGAGCTGGAGAATCGCCAGTGATCCGGCTGACTGTGATGAACAACAGTTTCACCATACAAAAGGAAGATGGTATTTTGATTTTATATTTGGATCATATCTAAGCATATAGCTGCCCTATATGCTTAGATATTTGAGGTCTGCAATAGAGGACTAATTGGAAATGATTTAAAGGTGTGATATCACAGGATATATTTATCAATTCTACTGCAAATTACTGTCACAGATGCACAAATGATGATATTGAAACCATTTGATTGTTTGACTTTAACTAAACTTTTGGGACCAAAATACCTTGTATTGTGAGTTATGACCTCAAACTTTACAATTAAAAAAATAATAATAATATAGCTTTAATATCACATCATATGCAAAATAATGTGTTGCTGCTCCTATTTTGTTGAAACTACTTTTTCTTCCCTTTCCTTTTAGAGAAGCCAAAGTTGAATTGTCTTCCTTTGTATGAAATGGTGACATATTTAAGTAAAATAAAAATGTGACTAGTTAAGTAAAGGAACATAATGAATTCAAACAGGCATAATACAATTAGCAAATTAATGTCCAACCACTGTCTGTGGCTTATAAAAGTATAAATACTCAGAACGGCCATTTCTTATCAGATTTTGGAGAAATGGTTTACACAGCGCTTTCTATCAAGATCATCCAAACACCAAAGTAACATCTTCTTCATCAAAACTGTCAAACCTTTACATGACATAAATCATGAAATTCATGTTGTGCAGATTCTGTGATCTTGGAGAGTCCCATCCGTCCTGTAATGGAGGGAGATGCTGTGGTTCTGAGCTGCAGAAACAACACGTCATCCGCCAGCCTCCCGGCAGTGTTCTATAAAGATGGCCTCTTCATTGGGAGCAGCTCTACAGGCAACATGACCATCCATTACGTCTACCAGTCTCATGAGGGACTCTACATGTGTAACGTCTCGGGAGTTGGACAGTCAAAAGGAAGCTGGCTGGCTGTCAGAGGTGAGACACAAATGTGTTTCAAAATAAAAGCCCAGTGTTTGATACTTATCATAACGGAATATTTCAATACAATAACTGATCATTACTGTGTCTCTCATGAACAATAATGAAAAGATTATTTCAGATTTTTGTATTTTAAAAAGAAGTTCATAACCTCGAGTTTGTCCTCACCTGAGGACAAGACTAAGATGTAGTGAGCAAATATGGATGATTTAATATTCCATAGCTCGGCCTACCCAAATCTAATTGATATCACCATTATTAATACAACAAAACCATCTTCAAATGGTCATTTTCTTGTAAAGTACAACAACTTCACAAACATGCTTTCATGGAACATAAAGCTTGTAAAACATTATATATTGTGCATCCCTGTTTTAAATAAGAAGTCATTTTAAGCTAACTGTAATTCAGTTGTAGCTCCAAATACAGTGAGAATAGCTGAATGACTAACAGTTAAATTCATTTGCAACTTTCTGTTGTCTTTGCAGCACTTCACAAAGAGACTTCCTTCTGCTCAGACCACTTTGTTCTTATTCTCCTCCTCTTAAGGACTGTGTTCACCATTGTGATGGTGGCTCTGCTGCT